TTACAAAAGCTCTGAACCTTGCTCTATCTTAATCCAACCTCATTTTCTCTGACACCCTACCCGCATTACCCCAGTCACTGAGTCAATCCAGCTCATCCAAGATCTTCCTCTTTTGCACTGTCCCTCCACCCTTCCAACCATGATGTCTTTCTCCAAAGACTGGTCTTTCCTTCCAACATTCCCAAAGTATGTGAGCGGGGCTTCAGAATCCTTGCCTCAAGAAGCATTCTGGTTTCACCCTCTCCAGGATAAACCTGTTTATTTTTCCAACAGTCGATGATAAATTCAATACTCTTCTCCAGCACCAAATTCAAAGGTGTCAGTTCTCCTTCCTTAGACATTGTCCAACTTTCTGGTGCACAGCAAGTAATTGTGAAGACTATGGCCTGGATCATGTGCACCTTGGTTTTCAGGCACATCATTATTCTCCAGTATTCTGGAGTGATATCTGACAGCAGATTTTCTCAATATAATTCACCTTTTGATTTCCTGGCTCCTGATACCAAGTCCTTGATCTTCTGCAGCAAGTGAGTCTTCTTCCAATCCTGATGCCACATTCCTCCTCATAGAGCCCACCCTCCCGCATGATCTTTTCTCCATATAAATTTAAAAGTTTTGGATACAGGATGCATTCCCAGTGTATACCTTTCCTAATTTTGAACCATGCAGTGTTTTCTTGCTCTGTTCTAATGACTGCCTCCTGGTCCAAGTATATATTTCAATCAAGTGTTTTGGGATTCCCATTCTTCTCACAGTCAGCCACAGTTGTGATCCACAGTCAAATGCCTTTGCAAAGTCAATGAAACACAGATAGACATTCCTCTGGTACGCTCTGCTTTCAGCCAATATCCATCTAACATTGGCTATAATATCCCTAGTATCAAAGCCTCTTCTAAGCCCAGCCAGCACATCTGATAGATCTCTGTTGATGTACTATTCCAGTAATTTTGGAGCTTGAATTTGCAATACAGTGTTGTGAGTGACAGGATAATACCCGTAAGCATACAAGGAAGTCTAGTGATTACTACTATCATTCAAATATATTCACCAACAACCAGAGCCAAAGAGAAGGAAATAGAAGAGTTATACCAACTTTTGCAGTCAGAAATTTATTGAATATGGTGACTGGGATGTAAATATTTGGAACAGTGAATAAGGATCAGTACTTGGAAACAAGGACTTGGTGACAGAAATGAAGTTGGAGAGAGAAGGATAGAATTCTGTACAATCAATAATTTATTCATTGTAAATACTTTTAATAAGGAACATAAAGGCAGGTTATACACATTTATTTCACCTGATGATATGCACAGGAATCAGATCAATTTAATCTTTGGAAAGAATCACTGAAGAAGCTCAATATCAGCTGTGAAAACTAGGGCAGGTTCTGATTGTGGAACAGACTGTTAACTACTCATATGCAAGTTTAAACTAAAGAAGGTTAAATCTAATCCACAAGAATCAAAATCTGGCCTTAAGTCTATCCCAGCTGAATTTCAAAGTCATCTCAGGAACAGGTTTGAGGCCTAGAACACTAATGGAAAAAAACCAGATGAGCTGGGAGAGGGTATCAAGAATATTATCCAGGAAGAATGTAAAAGATCATTACAAATACAGAGGAGGAAGAAAAGACCAAAATGGATGTCAGAAGAGACTCTGAATATTGCACTAGAGTGCTGAGACCAAAGCAAAGGGAAGAAACCAAGAGGTTAAGGAGCTGAACTGAGGATTTCAAAGGGCAGCATGGGAAGACAAAACAAAGTATTATAATCACCTGTGCAAAGAAAATCAGAAGGGCTGAACTTGCTCAACATTTCTTAAGCTGAATGAGCTGAAAAAGAAATTCTGGCATTTAGTTCTAACACTTAATGATTGTTGCTAGCAGGGGCCTATTCCTTAGAGAGGAACATGATCCTCAGGAAGGCAAAGGGTTGGTGAAAGAAAGACCCTCAACCAAGTGGATGATGGACACAATGACTGCTTCAATGTGTGCCAAGAAATGTGAGGATGGCATAAGATAGAACAGGTTTCAGATTAGTTGTTCATAGGGTTGCTAAGATTGTACTTGACTTGATTGCACCTAACAACAACTTATAGTCAACTGATCTTTGACAATGAGATAAAATTAGTTAATTTGGGAAATGGCAAGCTCTTTAATAAATGGTGCTGGCAAAATTGGAAAACCATCTGTCAAAAACTGAAGCAAGGACCACACTTCATACCACATAGAAAATCCAACTCAAGATAGATGAAAATATCCCAGATCTTTTTCATAATAAAATATGTGCCATTAATCTGCATACCTGGCCTTGGTATACTTGTACATATCACTTGTGTAAAATTACACTCCAGAATTCTACATGAAATCTGTAACAAAATTCAAATTAAAGTGTTCAAAACTCCCTGGAATCTAGTCATATAGTATCTTTGAAAAATTTTGGCAAAGAACAATTTGAACATTAAGAATCATCTCATCAGAGACAATGAAAAAAAAAATACAAGGCTTGTGCCAATAACTTCTGTTTTCTAAAGTGACTAATTAGCTGTCTCTAAGAGACCAGTTCTAATCTTATTTTCCCTGCTTGTATTTTTTTAAGCTCCTAAAAGAATTTTCAGAGTCTGTGCTCTCTGCTTATTGACCAGCCATATGCTGGGTGGTGACCAAATGTAATCCTACGGAGAAATTGTTACAGAGGTATTAGGTCAACATGCTTGGAGAGTCTCGTCTGTGATGCAATAGAATAAGGATACTCCTTCATGTGGAAAAGTGGGTATTTAATGGAGTACCTTTTTACAATAAAATATATTTTGGAGTAGATGTGCAGAAGATATATTTGGCTGAGGCATGTCTCTACAGCTCTTGGGGATGGATTTTCAGAAAAGCAGCCTGTTTGTGTTAGTTGGTTCAGGAGGTGGATGAATGAGTTGAATATCACGTGGAAAGAGTATTATCCTTTCCTCTAGAACCTTATTAAGTCTCAATAAACTTCTAAGTAAGCATTGTGGAAAATTAAATCTGGATATTTTATACACTCTGTTCCTTTCTGGTGACATGATATGGGAGGTGCTATGATAGAGCAGGGTAATTAATTTTGTCGTTAAACCCTTATGAAGTCTTAGTAAAAATGTAGGTAAGTTTCGTGGACAATGGAATGTGACCATTTTATACATTCTATTCCTTTCTGGTGCAGCATGTTGAGTTTTGTAACTGAAAGGTAGACTTCACAAGCTGCTAACCAGAACAAAGATGGGTAGACTCATTAAGATCTATAGCTATTAAAAAAATATGGACATGGTTATAATTTGGATATAACTCAAAAGCAAAGAGGTTTTAATGGGGTTTCAGTTGTGACATTGCCATATAGCCAATAGCCCACTGAGGTACAAAACATTCTGGGATGTAGAGAACACAGAGACAGGCTTTGTTAGTCTGGGATTTTGTGAGGGTACAATAAAGACAGGCTCAAGATGGAGGTTCAGAGCTGCTGTACATAGGGTCGCTATGCATCACACATGACTCAATGGCACATAATATACTATGGCAGATTTCGAAGGAGGAGTGGCATCCAATTCCTAAATAACATGCCTCTGGGAGCTCTATGAACTTTGATATATGCCAATAGTCGTAGATGGGCTTCAGGCCTTCTCTTCATAGGTTCACTAGGAATTGTGCTTGATTTACAACATAACAAAGATATACTCAACAACTTATGACAAATGAGTTTCTTCTCTTCTTTCTTCTCAGTTCAGTGCAAGCTCTTTATTTCTTGGCAGTTAGTAGCTGGACTAGGAGGAATTTTATCTCATTAGGTGAATTGTGCCAGTTCTTACTCTCACTGAGCTATGAAGATGTGTTTCTCTTGTTGCTGTGATCTGGTGAGGGATCAGTGTCCTTCAGGGAGGTCTACAAGTGAGGCAATTCAAAGATAGGGATTTGGTTGTGTGAGTAGTGCATTCAAAGGACTACACCCTTAGGAGGTGAGTGGTATACTTTAGACTTCAGACATTTGTCATGGTGTCAAGACAATAGAACTAAATACTATCATGAGAGATTGTCAGAGATAAGAAAATGATTAACTGGAATTTGACTTAGTAATGAGTCACAGAGCCCATGTTGCAATTATGCCCTTTTTAAGTGGAGTAATACTAACTACTTTGACACTAGATTTCTATTACAGCTTTGAGCAATGGGATTATGAACTTAAAATGTATACTGTTACCTAGCAAGTTTGACGCCTCAGCCTCTAGTCTCTTCAAGATGGCTGTGCTAAAATGATAATTTCTAAGGTCCGTGTCATTCTAAAAAACTATTAAGTCATAATAAATTAAACTGTAATATAGAAGAAAGTAAGATAAGTAGATCTCAACTTTAAAATTTCATCTAATATTAAGCTAAGGTCAATGACTTATTTTTCCCCTCTTTAAAAAATACTGTGTTGCAGCATTTTAGAAACAATACAAGCTTGGAATTATTACAAACTTGGAATATGACCAAGTTCTATGACCCGAACCCTGTAAGTATTAACTTCTCCTTCTGTAGAAAAGAACTTTAGATAATAAACCACTTATTATTACTGAGAACTTAATAGAATAATAAATTTATGAGAAGAGCACATTATGAAGCATTAGTAAACCTCAGCAAATGAGAATGATGACTTTGATGATCATCATAATAAATATGATCATGATGATTTAGATAAAATAATTTCTTGTACATTTTTAAAATTTATTTTTAAAGGGAATATTACAATTATTTTTTCTAATAAATTGATTACATGGTTCAAGAAAATATTTTATACAAATTCAATAATCCCATATATAGAACAAGCTATACATTATATTTAGTGTTATTCTAATGATTGTATCACATGTAGATTATGAGAAATGCATATACAAGCAGGTAAAAACAAAGTTTACAAAATTAACAAACTTTCCAAACACAACCTAGTTCTCAGAGGCCTTCTATTGTAGGTTTGAACGTGTAGATGATGCAGCTATAGAAAGAGATGCCTGTGGAAACGGAGAATGAGACTTCTGTCCAGGAATTTATCCTGGAGGGCTTTCCTGCTGTTCAGCACTTGGGAAAAGTCCTCTTCCTGTTGCATCTGCTGGCATACCTGGCATCCATCACAGGAAATGTGGTCATAGTCACTATCACCTGCCTTGATGCCCATCTCCACACACCGATGTACTTTTTTCTCAGCATATTTTCCTGCTTTGAGTGTTGCTTCATAAGTGCTGTTATTCCTAAGTTGATGATCATCTTTCTTTTAGGCATCCAAACAATTTCCTTTACTGCCTGTTTCATACAAGCTTTTGTATTTGTATTTGTTGGAGCGACAGCTTCCTTCTTATTAGCGGTGATGTCTTTGGATCGGTACATGGCTATTTGCAGACCGCTACATTATTCCACCATCATGAACTGGAAAACCTGTCTCCTCCTTGTCACAGCTTGCATTGCTTTGGCTTTCATTCTCGTCACTGGTCTAATGGTAAAAATTTCCCAATTATCCTTCTGTGGTCCCAATGTTATCCCTCACTTCTTCTGTGACCTTGGCCCCCTGATCCACCTCTCCTGTTCTAACACCAAATCTGTTGAAATGTTGACTTTCGTTCTGGCTTTGTTTATCCTTATTACATCCCTTATTATAACCATCACTGCATACAGCCATATAGTAGTCACAATTATTCATCTCCCAACAGTCAAAGAACGACAGAAGGCTTTCTCCACTTGCTCATCTCACCTTATTGTCCTCTTTCTGATGTATGGCAGTTGTGTCTTTATATATGTGAAACCAAAGCAATCCAGCAGACTGGACTCCAACAGAGAGGCTGCCCTTGTGAACACTGTGTTTACCCCACTACTGAATCCTGTCATCTACACGCTACGGAACAAGCAAGTACACCAGGCTCTGAAAGAGAACATGTGTAGAATGAGAGCAAGAAGATAAAAATCACTTGTCAGAAATGGAAAGTTTATGGGAATTGTTTGTTACCTACCAGTCAATATAGCAATCTGCTGAATACCTAATGGAGAAATCCTTACAGATTTCACATATTATTTGCTTGCATGTCTCTAGCAAAATCTTTGTTTTTCATTGCCACATTTTACTTTATTGTGTTTAAATATCTCTTTCCTTCCACAACAATCAGTTTTCATTGAGAATTGTTTCTCCTCTTCATATAAATCATGTGTTTTGTTGCTGTTGTTGTTAGGTGCCATCAAGTTGAGTACTACTCAAAGCGACCCTAAAAACAAAAGATCTGAACACTGTTCTATTTTATGCCATCCTCACACCTCCCGGCACACAAGAGTCCAATGTAGCAATCACTGTATCAATCCACCTGGTTGTGGGTCTTCCTTTCCTTCGCTGATCCTCCACCCTTCTTAGCATCATGTTCCTTTCCAAGGAGCAGCCCATCCTAGCAACATGCCTAAAGTATGTGGGGTGAAGCCTCATCATTTCGTGCCTCCAAAGAGCACTTTGGCTGCACCCTTTCCAAGACATATGTGTTTGTTCTGTTAGCCATTCATGGATGTTCAGTGCTCTTCTCCAACACCACAGCTTGAAAGGCATTCATTCTTCTTCTGTCTTTATTCATTGTCCAGCTCTCAGATTCATAGCAAGTTGTCTGAAAGATTATAGCCTGAATCAGATGTTCCTTAGTCCTTAAACTGGTATATTACTCGTCAATAATTTGGAGAGGTCCTTAAATATAGAATTTCCCAGTGCAATGCATCTCATTAATTCCTGACTGCTGATACTGAGGGATTTAATTGTGGATCCAAGCAAGATGAAGCTATTGAGAGTTTCAATCTTCTCTCCATTCATCATGATGTTTCCTATTGGTCCAGTGGTAAGAATCTTTGTTTTCTTTGGAAACAAAGAAATCATGTGCTTAGAATTACCAAATTTAGTAATTTGCATTCTATTTCTCTCTAATCATAAATACAATTAATTAGAATGTGTAACTCTTTTCCAAAGGATATTTAAATAAACAATATAAAGGATTCTGTATTTAGTTTTGATTACAAAAAGAAATGATGGAAATTGAATCTATACTATGGCCCACATTTTCTCCTTACTAAATCCAAAGAAAATATTGTTTCTTTCACCTTATTATATATATCACCTACCCTAGCTATGCTCTTAATTGCTGTTCTTGTACTTAGTTACACATGTCTGCATGCTGAGAAGACATTCTCGTAATTCATCCTTTACGAAGGGAGAATAACTAAGTCCAGCTCTAGCAACTAACAAATACTCCTATTTCACAAATTATTTTTTTAGAATGAGATCCTCAAACTATTTTGTGTTTCTTATTCTTTCCTAAACTAAAGCTATTAATACAGAAGATGTGTGTGTATCTTTTTACACATATGACTATGTTTTTTATGTGTATGTGTGTGTCTCTATGTGAGAGAGAGAGTATATCCATATTAATTGAAAGGGCATATCTATCATTTCTGTGATATCTTTGTGAGAAGATATTGAAACTCGGTTGTTTGCTTATATGTTTTATATTCCTTAAAAATAATTCAAACACGTATTTTTTACCTAGTGGTCTTGTCAGCACTTTTTCTAGTTGATATTCTAAAATCAATATCCTCATACACTCAATTATTAATCTTTGTGTAGTTTTATCTCCTATATCCAAGAATGTAAACATAAACATTTAATATTCAGAGGATATGACTCTAAAAGGCTCTTTTTTTAATTTCAAAAAACAAATATAATTAAGATGCGAAAAATTTTACAAGATATATTCAACCTTGTTGTTGTTGTTATGTGCCGTCAAGTTGTTTGCGATTCATAGCGACGCTATGTACAACAACCCTAAACCCTGCTCTATCCTGTGCCAATCATATTGCCTCTGACACACCCATCCCGATTACCCCAGTCACTGAATCAATCCACCTCATAGAGGGTCTTCCCCTCCTGAGCTCTCCCTCCACCCTACCAACTATGATGTCCCTCTCCAAGGACCTGTCTCTCCTTATAATATGTCCAAAGTATGTCAGACGAAGCCCCAGAATCCATGCCTCCAAGGAGTAGTCTGGTTTAACCCTTTCCAGGATGAATCTGTTTGTTTTCTTGGCAGTGCAGGGTACATTGAATACTCCTCTCCAGCACCACAGCTCAAAGGCATCAATTCTCCTTCTATCCTCCCTAGTCATTGCCCAACTCTGATGCATAACAAGTGATTGCAAAGACCATGGCCTGTATCCAGCGCACCTTAGTCTCAAGAGAGGCACCGTTGCTCTTGAGTACTTTAGAGAGGTCCCTAACAGCAGACTTTCCGATTGCAATACATTTTTTTTCTTTCCTGGCTGCTGGTGCCAAGAGTGTTGACCATGGAGCTAAGCAAACTGAAGCTGTGAACAATCTCAATCTCTTCGCCATCCATCCTGATGCTACCAATTGTTCCAATGGTGAGAATCTTTGTCTTCTTGACATTGAGCCTCAGTCCATACTAAAGGCTGCAGTCCTTGACCCTTCGCAGCAAGTGCATGAGGTCCTCCTCAGTTTCAGCAAGCAGGGTTGTGTCATCTGCATAACGCAGATTGTTGATAGATCGTCCGCCAATCCTGATGCCACACTTCTCCTCATAGAGCCCATCCTCTCGGATAATCTGCTCTGCATACAGGTTGAAAAGGTATGGAGATAGGACACACCCCTGGTGTACACCCTTCCCAATTTTGAACCATGCAGTGTTTTCTTGCTCTGTTTTGATTACTTTTTCTTGGTCCAAGTATAGGTTTTGCATTAGCACGATTAAGTGTTCTGGGATTCCCATTCTTCTCAGAGTCAGCCACAGTTTGTTATGATCCACACAGTCAAACGCCTTTGCATAATCAATGAAACACAGATAGGCATTCTTCGGGTATTCCCTGCTTTCAGCTAAAATCCATCTAACATTAGCTACAATATCCCTAGTACCACCACCCCTTCTAAACCCAGCCTGGACTTCTGGCAATTCTCTGCTGATGGACTGTTCCAGTCATTTTGGATAATCTTCAGTAGAATCTTGCTTGCATGTGAAATCAATTATATTGTTCCATAGTTTCCGCACTCTGTTGGGTCACCCTTCTTTGGAACGGTAACAAATATAGATCTCTTCCAGTCAGTTGGCCAAGTGGTTGTTCTCCAGATTTCTTGGCACATCAGTCTTTTCTCTCTCTAATGTGATGTTGCTTTTTTGTCAAGTGGGGAGGATTTTTTTATGTTGATTTGTAAGCACTATTGACAGCTTTAGTTTTAATCTTGTGCAGCAAGTGCTTTGAATCCTCTTTACTTTAAGCAAGCAAGATTGTTACTAAGTCTTCCAATCCTGATGCTACATTCATCTTCATATAGTTAACTTCTCATATTATTTTCTCAGCATACATATTGAATAGGTATGGAGAAACACCTTTCTTGGTTTAAAAACCATATTAAAAACTAAATTTGATACATTTAACCCTAACTACTAAACATCAGATGAGTCGTGGGATGATGTCAAAGATATCTCCCATGAAGAAAGCAAATGCAGGTGAGAAAGATCAAATGTGCCAAGAGCTGAATGAAAGCATTCCATGTTTCTGAAACTGAAAAAAGTGAAGAACAAGTTAAAGCTTCAAGATGTAATACTGAAGGATTCCAAGTGCAAAATACTTCCTTTCTGTATCAAAAAAGTTGCAAAACAAGATGGAAGAGATGCACATAATCACGCTACCAAAAAATAAATAAGTTGGTTGACACCCAGTCATTTCAGAAAGTAATACAGGATCAAGAATCAATGCTAATGATGCAGTGAAGGCAGTGTCAAATACTAAAGTCCAGGAATTCTTGCAATACTAACTGGCATATTGCGATAAGCATATTCAGCCTTGGAGATGCTCATTAGTCTATGAGAAGAAATTTGAAGGGCAACAGACTGGAAAATGTTTGTTGTTGTTTAATGCCGTCGAGTCGTAGACGACTCATAGCGACCCTATGAACGAACAGCCTGAGCACTGTTCGTACATAGAGTTTCCGGAGGCAAGCCATTTCAGAAGTGAATGCCACTCCTGCTTCCAGGCTTGATTTAGTCGGGAAGCTCCAGCCAACACTGTTCACCATGGGTGCCCATTACCACGACTGGCACATCACTGTCACAGGCTTCAGCATCACAGCAACCGCGTTTCTTTTTTAAAATATGATGTAATTGTAAACAAAGCTGCAATAAACATGGGTGTGCATATATCTGCTTGGATGGCAGACATGGTCTCTCTGGGGTATGGAAGCAGCCTAAGGGCCCATCAACAAACGAATGGATAGAGAAGCTGTGGTATACCCGCACAATGGAATACTACGCAGCATTGAAAGACAAGGAACTCATGCAATATTATTCAAAGTGGGTGACCCTGGAGGACATTATGCTGAGTGAAATATCTCAGTCACAAAGGGACAAATACTGCATGGTGCCACTGTTGTAGAATGGGTCTGTCATCAGCGTGGGGGTATGACAGAAAAAAAACTCGATAAGTTATGTATATTGTATTGAAACAGATGAGGGAAAGAACAGATTAGAAGTGATATATGATTATTATGGTTAGCACAGGAGTCCAGAATTAAGGTTGCATAGAGAAGTGTACTCGGGGTGCGGAGTGGGGGGAAGGGACGTGGGAATTGTATACTAATGAAGGCATTTTTTCTTTTTTTTCTTTTTTCTCTCTTCGGAGGGGGAAGCGAGCTGGTGGGGAGGGGTGGGAAGGGAGAAAATTGCGGCAATGAATGAATGGAAATCCAAAACCTCTGTAAAAAAAATTCAATAAAAAAATATGATGTAATTTATGTGGAAAATATAGAACAATATCATTAATGTCACATGCAAGTAAAATCTTGCTGAAGATTACATTTAAATGTCATAAACAATATATTATATGGAACTTTAAGAAAATCAAGATAGATTCAGAAAAAGATATAGC